TGTAGTAACTGACAGACTCGAATGTCTCCCTGCATTCAAAACACTCATCTGCTAGGAGCAAGAATAGCGTTCTCCAGGCCCAGCGCTTCTCTCCGCAGGAAGCCAGCAGCAGCGGCAGCACCAGCCCGGAGGGTCTCCAAAACCGCAAGGCGAGCGACTGAGGAGAGCTCAGCGGCAGTCCCTGGTGTCACTGGAGCGCCGTTCCCTCCTGGGATCTTGAAAGTGTGAACCAACTATGTAATGTCCTGTCTGTTCCCCACATGAGCCTCTGGAGTCTAAAAGTACTCTTTCTACCTATGCCACATGACCAATCACCGAGGACTCGGTGTCAAAATTATAAACTGTTGTATAAAAATAAACTGAAGTATTACTATTTAATAACCAAAAAGACTGCTATTTAAGAGTGAAATGTTTATTTTTTCTCGTACGATAAAGCTATGGAAAGCACAGAACTTCTTTAAAGCCAACAAGAGACTTTGATTTGTAGGAATCGGAACATCCCATCAACAGACTCTCTCCTTAGAGCTGAGAAGCTGTTTGGCAGAAGGACGACTCTGGAAGTGTGTGCCTTCGCGCCGGTGCCCGCATGTCGGACCAGACACCCCTTCACCGCGGGGCATCCTGTTTATTGCGGGATGCGCAGCAGCACCGCCGACCTTCGCTCCGTAACGACACTACATGCCCTCCCCCGTGGCGACAAGGAAAACAGTCTCCAGACACTGCCAAACGTCTCCCAGGAGACACAATAGCCCTCCGGCGAGAACCGCTGCTACCTTCAGAACGCAAATCCGCGTCTCCAGCCCAGATTTCTGCTGGCTTTGCCATGATGCTAAGTGTTGGTCACATGTACTACGCCAGACACCACACTGCTCTGTGTGATTACCAACAAGCCAGTTCTCACCCTTGGGGAGTTTAGGCTAGTGGGAGAGAAAAACAGACGACTCATCCTTGAAGTTGTGGTGTCAGGAAGACAAATTTTCATGAAAGAAAGGCTTTGTCTGAGGTGACGTTTAAACTGACGCCTGAGTGGTGGAAAGAAACCACATAAGGCTGGCGGGGGGACTTCGGTCGCCGACGTCTCACTGTAAAAGTACCGAGGCGAACAAGAGCTGGGAACGCTTTATGCGGGAGGAACGTGGCAGGTGGTGTTTTGGGAGGACGGGGTGAGGCCAGAATGGGGTCCAGGGCCAGACCACACAGGGAGGGCAACCTTCTCATACCTCCAGAAGGACACTTGGTAGAGGCTGATGAAGGTGCTATCAGTAATTGTGCCTGTCATTCTGGGACAGGGTTATCACCACCACAACGTGAAGGCAGCGGAAGAGGAAAATCTCTCAAAACACAAGGGGCCAAGTATGTGGCTTCATTCTCGCAGTGTCCAAAGCAGCCGGTCAGCGCCCGGTGAGGAGGGACTCAGGTACACACAGTCTCTTCTACCTGCTTGAAACCAATTGGCTTGAAAAATCATCTACATCTTTCTCCATGGCAAAAGGTTTATCGAATCGGTTTTAACATTTTTGTTTGATAAAAAAATGTAAGTATATAAACATTAGTTTCAAAATTCTGGTTCACAACAAAACAACTATGTCAAGTTTCCGAAGTATAAGGGAAGTCCCAAAAAAGTGTGGAAGCAGGAGCCACTCCGAGAGCGTGTCCCTAGACTGCCGTCCTGTCATCAGGATGTTACAGTCTCTCTCAGCTACCCAGGTCGTGGGGTCGCTTTCCCAACATGTGGTGCCCCGGGCAAGGGAATGCGGGGACCTTAGACCCCACTCCTGATGGAAACAAGGCATCCAGGAGGCCCCATTTTCTGTGCCAGATTTAAGTACCATCCCTCCAGGAAGGTCAGTTTCAAAAGATTTGAAAAGCAAATGTATAAGCTCTTCAACCTCATGAGCACACCCTGAACACTACAAACAAGAGCACGGGGGGCAGGGGCGGTCACCGTGCAGCTGCTGCCCTGCCTGCACCTTCACTGGCTCCTGTGGGAACCCCAGCCTGGCCTGTGCTGCACCCCAGGGCCCCCCAGATCCTACAGCTTGGACGCTGCCTCGAGGGTCAGCCCCCTTGGAGCTCTCGCCGAGAGCCTGGCAGGAGCCCAGGAGGAACAAAGCCAAGCGCAGGCCAGCGTGGCCGTTCGCACTGGTGAGCCCGTCTGCTCCGTCTCTAGTCTAGCATCACTTGCTTACTCCCGCCCAAGTCCACGCTGAGAGAAGCTGACAACATGCCCAGCTCTGTCCCCCACCAGACACTGACAGCCACCCAGCTGGCCACACCCACCCTGCCAGACAGGAAGGTGACTCCATACATGGGGACCCTGCACCTGTGCCCGCCCCCTCTCCCCAGGGAGCCGGAGGGCTGGTGGTAAAGGGGGCTCATTGGGGGCCACATGGGGGGACGTGAACGGAGCCCACATGTGCTTTTGGGGACACCCTCTTCCATCTCACCTCTGTCCAGCTCCCTCACCCTCTGGAGTCTCGCTTCCTTGATCAGGATGTGGACTAAAATTAAATCTTAAGCCCACTAGACACGAATGGACCCCCTCTTGGCCAAGAGGACCCCAGGAAAACCTTAAACCGAGCTGCCAGCCATGAGGAGAAGGGAGATCTGACTCGCCACACCACAGCCCCTCCCTTTCGGAGTTACTCTTTGTAACAAAAAGATACTAAATCGTTAACAGGCCTGAGACCATGCAAGGCAAAGCTTAAACCACACCTGCAGGCCGTCAGTTTACTGAACAGATCACTCGGGGCCTGGTTTGTGTCCAGTGGCTGATCTCTGATTAGCAGCCTTCCTTATCTCGGCTCAAAACAGTCCAAGCTGTTACAGCTTCATTTCTTTAACCAATTGCCAATCAAATAATCTTAAATCCCGCCTAAGCAACCCCCTTGAGATTTCCTGCCTTTTCGGGCCAAACTAATGGATGTGTGCCATGTGTTGATTTATGATTTGTGTGTGATTCCTGTCTCCGTGAGTGTGTAAAGCCAAACTGTAACCCCTCTGCCTTGGGACCTCTTTTCAGGACTTCTTGAGGCCATGTGCTCTGGGTAGTCGCATACATTCGGCTCAGAATAAAGCTCTGTAAATTATTTTACAAAGTTTGGGTTTTGTTCCATTAACAAGGAACAGGAGTTCTCAGGGTGGTGGGGCCCCTTGAGGGTCACAGAATGGCCTCCACGAGGTCAAAACCGCGTCTGAATGGACACTCCACGTTACTTAACCTTTTCACCATCGCGTTCTCCACAGCGTGGAGTGCAGCCCCCCAGAGGCAGAGCAGCTGTGGAGCCCAGCCATCTCCTAGGCAAGAGATCATTACAGAGACACCTGTAGCTAGAGCATCAGGGGCCCAAGATGGGCAGGAAAAGCCTTCCCATGGGGTGTGTGGACCTGGGGAGTTTCAGGAAATCCATCTCCCGATCCCCACAGTCCACAGGCACTCATGCGTAAACTAAATCTGCTAGACAAAGAGAGTCCAGGGGAGTTCCTACCCTTGGCCCATTCTCACTCTTCCTTCCTTCTCCCACTTGCCAACCTCACCTGCCTGAAACTTACAGGGACATTGCACAGGCAACCAGTAAAGCTGTAACAGAGGGAACGGTCTGAAAAAGAGTAAAATGTTTTATGAGTTGTTTCTTAACCCCCACTCCCCCGCACTCCTTTTGGGGCTCAAAACCTGCATCCTTGCCTGAGGCCAGTCATCGGAGGGGCTGGGGAGTGTCCTTTGTTTTTTGTACAACAGGCGATGGCTCAACGGAATTGTTTGGGCAGAGATCATGAAATTGTCTTCAGTGGAGATGCTATAGGTAAACAGCAATAACCTGAAGCTGAAAACCCCGTTTAAAAGCTCTGTATTTCTGCTTACAGTTAGGATGTCAGCACTTTAAGATGAGAGTCCTCCTCATTTGCCAGCAAATTAATAAACTTCTCTTTCCTTCTCCTCAAACCACTTGTTCTCGTTCTTCTGATGTGGCCTTGGGGACAAGTGGTGAATTTTGGTAACAGAATTTGGTGTCCTTGGGTGGGCTCGTGGGCACCCCAGTGGAATGGCACCCCGCGACTGACGCCATGGCTAGGAGAGGCGAGGAGCAGCCACGGTCCAGCCGTGGGTCGGAACATCGTGTTTTGGGTAACAGAGTGAAGGATTGCCCCGGCAGCCTCTGGGGCCTGTTTCACTCCGGGAACTCCCACCCATCTTCTCCGAAGTAGACTCAGCTCCGACCAACTTCAACCTTGTTAAGAAAAGGAACCAGACCTGGGCAGTGCTGTGACGCCTTGGCCATTTGTTTGGGCAGGTCCCCAGTGTGCACAGCCAGACCCTTAATTCCACCCATTTGGGGAAAGTTTTTGAACCTCCCTGCCCTGTGGCAGCACAGTTGTTTGTAGGTGATGTTTGGGGGTGGAAGTCACGTTTGAGTGGAACTAGGGAACCTGGGGGATTCATCCCTTTCTGGATTTGGAGCTTGTTTGTTCAGTTCCCAGGGAACCTGGGGATGTCATTCCCTTTTGGAATGTTGGCTCTCATTTGGGAATTTGGTTCTCATTTGGATGGTTCCCATTTGTTGGAAGGCCTTTGCGTTTGAGATTGCATCGGAATTCCCTGTATTGTCTGTGTCTGTTGTTTGTGAGTTTTGTTTAAGGTCTTGGCATTAAGATGGTTTGTGTTGGGAATTTCCTGTATCATCTACTTGTCATGTTGTGTTAGTTGTTGTTGTCAATGTGGGAGGCTCCGTTTCTATTCCATCTGAAAGCCCCTTAGGGAGAATCTTGGCTGAATAACCAATTTATGGCTATAAAAGAGAATGGTTTTATTTTAATCCAATGTACATAGTGGAGTGTGAGGAGAAGTGGCCATTAGTGGAAACTTAAATTATTATACGATCTTAAAACTGGAATTATTTTGTCAAAGGTCTGGTAAATGGGATGAGAACCCGTAAGTACGATCTTCCGTGCAATTGCATAACAAAGAGGCTGAACGGCCGTGTGATAAAATTGGGGAGGGATTAACCAGGTCGGATCTTGTGAACCTGCTCCCCTACCAGCAGCTCCCCACCCACCAGGGAAGGTGCCACGGGCTTGGCCATGAGCAAGCTCGTGCCACTGGGGCCCTGAGGCCTGATCTGCTGTGGTTCCTGAGGCAGTGGTCATGGAGTGCACTAACAGCAGCAGCTCTCCCCTACTCCACAGCCCCGTGGTCGGCCTGGGAAGTGGCCCTGCGTGGAGCCTGGCCCAGGGCAACTGCTGCTGCCACCACCCACCACTGCCACCATCACCATCTTGGCACCAAGAGAAGGGCTGGAAGGATGTGACTAAAACTGATCCTTTAGTCCCAGGCCCACTAGGTTATGACCTGGGAGTGGGAATGGTCTCTCCTTCTAAGACCCATCAGGGAACTCAATTTGGCAAGAGGGCACCCATAGCTGGGGCAGGGCAATCTCTATTATGGCAATGTCAGATGGGGGCTTGAATGGATAAGGACAGCTGGCAGGGTGTTATTGGACTTCTGATGAAGATCCCTCTGAATTTTTAGAATGCATCTATCAGGCATATCAGAAATATACAGATGCAGATCCAGGGCCCTGAAAATATGTGCATGATTAATATAACTTTTGTAGGGCAGCGTGCTCCAGATATATGGAGGAAGCTGCAGAGTGTGTAAGAGACAATTGGCATGACTCCCTCACAGCTTGCTGATATCACCTTTAAAGCATATAATGCAAGGAAAGAACAGAAACTGAAATCTATGTGTGTTTTGTTAGCTGCACCAACTAAGGGTCCTTTGAGACAGTCAAAAGGAAAGTGTGGAAAAAGTTGCCCAGGTTGAAGTACAATCAGCGTGCTTTGTAAAAAGGAAGGACATTGGAAAGAACACTACCCCAAATTGCAAAGGGCTCCAGGTAACAAGAAATCCCCAGGAAAGCAAATGGTTTCTCAAGACTGGGACTCAGATGATGGAGGAGGAGGCCTGGGGCTCCATGCCTCAGTAGCGGTCCCAATGCAAATATCCCCATAGGAGCCCCGAGTACGATTGACAGTGGGGACTCAGTCAGTGGGCCTTTCAATTGGCACAAGAGTGCTGCCGCCACCAAGCTACATGGGCAGAAGCAGCCCAGGGCCTCCCCCTTGGCTGCCACCTGGCCCCTAGCACCAGCCATGCATGGTGTGCTGGGAGCCAGGCTTGGGGGGCGGCAGTGGTGAGGCAAGCAGCGGCTGAGGAACTCACTGTGGGCCCAGGAGGTGGACCCAGGGAGTTGCTGCCGAAGCTGGAGGTGCTCCCACTGCCTCCTCCACTGCCAAATCCGGTGGACGTGGGCAAGCAGCAGCGGCACCAGAGCTGTTCCAGAAGCGCAGAAGCTCACCTCTAGGGGTGTCTCCAAGCTCCTGCTTCGTGAATGCCAGGGCCTGTTGAAGCATACAGGATACTTCAAAGTGGAAGAGTTCACCTGGAAGTCTGGGCCTCAGCAGACCTGCACGTTGTTGCAGCATTTGCAAGAAGAAAGCTACCAAAAAGTGAATAAGGCCGTATAGACCAACAGGACCTGAGACATGCAGAGAGAACTTAAACGCCCCATACCCATGAGTACAGATTCGTGCAGGGTCCATTAGTGGTGTTGTACAAGTGACTATTAATGGTACTCAATCGCATCTGAATGGCAGGATCCTGGGACTAGGGTGGCCTCATGGTGCTGATGGACTGTGTTGCCTCAGGGGTTTAAAAAGGCTCCCCTGCCCTGTCTGGTGATAGCTTAGTGGGGGACTTTCAAACCCTGCAATTGGACAGATTTGCAAACAGCAGGTTACTTATCTGGGATTCCAAATTAGCAAGGGGAGCTGCAGCAATTGCGCCGGCTCCTAGGAGTGGCAGAGTCCTGTCACGTCTGGATCCCCAACTCTGGACTAATAGTAAAGCCCTGTATGAGGCCCTCGAAGGAACAGATGTGGAGCCCCTGATTTAGACCACAGACTGTCAAAATGCCTTTGAAAAACTGAAGCAGAGTCCTGTGATAGCCCCTGCTTTGGGGTTGCCTGGCCTGCAGAAAGAATTTAAATTACATGTTCATGGAAAACAAAGAATGAGCCTTGGAGCCTCAGTGCAGATGCTGGGAGACGTCCCACGGCAGAGGCATGCTTGTCAAAGCCACTGCACAGCACTGTTAGAGGGTGGCCTCCTTGCCAGGAGCAGCTACTTGTGAGCTGTTATTAAAGATGGTGTCTGCGCCCATCCTGCCGCCCTGTGACCACCCGAAGGGAATGAGCCTTTGCAGCACGACCGTTTGGAAGTCCTGGAGGCCGCCTGTTACAACAGGATGGACCTGTCAGGTCAGCCGATGCCAGAGCCAGATTGGGATCTTTTCACTGATGGGAGCAGCTTTATGGACAATGGACAATGGACAACAAAGGGCTGGATGCAGTGGCACTGCCGCCTGGGACTTCAGCCCAGAAAGCTGAGCTGATTGCTTTAACCACAGCTCTTCAGTTATCCAGAGGGGGGGAAAAGGTAAACATTTATACAGACTAAATATGCCTTTATGGTTGAGTGTGCCCACGGTGCCATCTGGAAGGAAAGGGGGCTCCTCGCGGCAGGAGGAGGATCCAAGCCTCGTTCGGCCCCTCATGAGGCACTTACAGGAATGCACACATGAGGGGCGCGATGCCTTAATGGATTTGGTGGGATCTCATTTAAGAAGACCCCGTCTGAAGCAGACAATGTGCTTGAAACAATCCAAAGACAGAAAAGCGACCTGCTGCACAGGGAACCCAACGTCTGGGGACCCACCCTTTCAATGATTGGAAACTTATATTAGTAGATACCTTTTCAGGATGGGTAGAGACTTACCCTACCCGAATGGAGAGAGCGTCTGCAGTTACCAGAATCCTTCTGAATGAACTCGCTCCAAGGTATGGGCTCCCTTCCTCCATACAGAGTGATAACGGACCCTCCTTTGCATAGGAGGTATCTCAGCAAGTAAGCAAAATTGGTGCAGGAAGCCCTTCCAAAATGGGACAGGGCATGGCTGCGTGCTCTTCTCCAGACAAGGGTTGCCCCTAGGAGCAGGCTCAAGTTAAGCCCCTATGAAATAGTTTGTGGGAGACCCTCCCTAGCACCCCGAGCCAAGTATGGTAATACAATCATAAGTGAAGAAACACAGTAAAGCAATACATCAAATACTAACCGCTGTGCGTGAAGTTGCCACTGTCAGGTCCCTGCCCCATCGGAAGCAGAGAAGTGGAAGGGACCATATGAAGTGCCTCTAACAACCACACCTCATTGAAACTGTCAGGAGTAAAAGGAGTCCGCCATACTAGAGTAAAGAGGTTTCCCACAGAGGAAGAGGACCCAGGCCCCCAGTGGATGGGCCAGCCTCCAGGTGATCTAGAGTATCTGTCTAAGAAGAAGGAAAAAAAAAGGCTGATACTGTCTTTTCTGTTCTTTCTTTGGCTATTTGTTCTGTCTTTAGGTGGAGAGACAACTCTTTAGTGAGGATTTCTTCTGCTAATCAGTCTTACTGCTGGCTTTGTCACAGTCCTGTATGTTGTTTATCTTCCTGCACTCTGAATTTGCAGAAGCTGGTCACTTGGGTCACCTACAGGGAGCAGCTAATAGCTCTGTACTCAGAGGTCCTGTGTTTCTGTCTTGCCCAGCCCTGTCTCATGTACAAGGTGACAGTAAGAGCCCACAATCCTACGGGTGTCTTAGACACCAAGTGGGGTAAATATCTCTTTTATCAGGTACCCTCTACTTCGCCTTGTCAATCCTCACGGCTATAGGTCCTTACGCCCTTTTCCACCGTCTGTTGTACTGCCTGCTGCCGAAGCTTTGCAGTGGCATGTGTAAGCATGGCCTTCTGTCTAAAGCACGGCCCCAGCTCAGCAGGAAGCAGCCCAATAACGATGTCGCCACTTCTCCACAGCTATGGAAGTAAAATTGGCAGTGAGGAATATGTAACAGAGGTGGAAGTGGCCTGAAAAAGGGTAAAATGTTTTATGAGCTGTCTTGTAATGCACCCCCCCACACACACTCCTTTTGGGAATTAAAACCTTTATCTTTGTTTTTTGTTTTTGCCACAGGCGATGGCTCAATGGAATTGTCCAGGCAGAGATCAGGAGATTGTCTTCACTGGAGACGCTATAGTTAAACAGCAATAGCCTGAAGCTGAAAACGCCTTTAAAAGCTCTGTATTTCTGCTTGTAGCTAGGACATTGGTATTTTACGACTAGAGTCTGCCATCTGCCTCATTTGCCAGCAAATTAATAAACTTCTCTTTCCTTTTCCTCCAGCCGCTTGTCTATGTTCTTCATTCGGTCAAGGCAACAAGTACTGAACTTCTAGTAACAAAGGGACCCTTCAATGATACTCTTAAGTCTGTGCCATCCATCTGATTAGAGGGTATATTTCCAATATAATTTGGATTCCTATTTCATAAATATTTATTAAAATTCTAAACATTCATTTTGTTGGGTGAACTGTGTTTTACTAAATATATATATATGAGATATATATGTGTGTGTATATATATATATATAAAGTGAGAGAAACAGAGACAAAGAGACAGACAGACAGAAAGAGACAGAAAATAAGAGAAGTTGCAAGTAAGTCAAATGGGAGTGAACAAAAGATTATTAAGCATGAAAAAGCATGTGAATTTACCTTAGGACAAATGTCACTGTGAGTAGTGGGATAGAAATACAAGTTCACAGAAACAAAGAATGATACAAAATTCCCAGCTTCTAAAGAAGGACTTGCTTGGTGTTTTGTACATACATGATGATTAGGGCCAAATCACCACTCCATTAACATTGCGTCAGATACATTCAGAAGAGTGATGTATGATTTTGTTTTAATGTATTTGAATCCTGCCACAAATTAAAATCCTTTTTCGTGATGGAAAAATATGTGTCTACTAAAATTGTGTCAGAAGTGTGAATGGAAAAGAACATAATCCCTGTAAAATAATTTAAAGAGGTTTATTCTGAGCCAAATGTGTATGACCATGACCCCAAGAGCCATGCTCAAGAAGCCTTGAGCAAGTAGCCCTGTGGCTGGGTTACACTTTGATTTTAAACATTTTAGGGAGACAGGAATTACATGTAAAATCATAAATTAATACATGGAAGGCCTACATTGGTTTGACCCAAAAAGGCTGGGATATATAGGTTATAGACGGGCTTAAAGATTCTTTGATTGGTAATTGGTTAAGACATGAAGCTGTAAAGGCTTGGACTATTTTAAGATAAGTAAGTCTGCTCATCAGAGACCAGCCACTGGACATACATGGAGACTCAAGTGATCTGTTAAGTAAATCGATGTCCTGCAGGAGTGGTTTAAGCTTAGCCTTGCATGGCCTTAGGCCTGTTAATGATTTACTACCTTTTTGTTACAAGGAGTAACTCCAAAAGGGAGTGGCTGTGGTGAGGCGTGTGTGACCTCCCTCCTCCTCATGGCTGGCAACTCAGTTTAAGGTTTTCCTGGGGTCTTCTTGGGCAAGAGGGCGTCCATTCAGTCGACTGGGGGTGGGGCTTAAGATTTTATTTTAGTTCACAGAGGATACACAAAGATTGCTTTAAGAGGATGGAACAAAAGAATTTGAAGACCATTAGTTTAAAGGAAAGAAAAACTGAAAGGAAATATGATCCCCTGGGCAGCATTACTTTTTCCTTTTGAAATATGCAGTGGGCCTGCCCTAGCCTTGGTCTCCATTTGCTGTTTGCTACAGGGAAAGAAGACTTGGCTCTCATCATAATTTTGGCAGCAATGGCACACCTGGCCTCAAGGAAGTTCTAGGAATATTTTAGGCTGGAGGAGCCATTTAAGGGATGATTCTTTCCAAAGAAAATTTTCTTGTCATGAATTTCACGCTACTCACGTAATTTTGAACATACTCATCTACTTTTAAATAACGGACCAGATGACTCCAAGTCTACTGGGCCGTGCTTGCGTCTGCGTGCAGGAGCACAGCTCTGTCAGGGAAGACGTCCTTCCACTGTGGAGGCTACCCTGAGCTCGGCCGTCCGCGCGTCCGGAAGGGGCGGCCCTGCCATTGTCAGGGCAGCCTCTTCGGCTTTGGCTCTAGTCCCCTTGGTTTGCAAATTTTCCTCTTCATCTTGACCTGAGGCTCCCGACCCTCACACCATCCCTGGGGAGGGGTGGCCTTTTCTGGACCCCGGCAGCTTGAGGGAGGGGTGTCTGCTCTGTCACCACTGACCCCCACGTCTTGCTTGGAGCGGAGAATAGGAGGCAGAAGAGGAGGTGCCTGGCCACTCTGGCCTCCTTCCTGGCTGGGTTGGGCACCCAGCAGTGCCTGAGGTTGGGGTAGGTGCCCCAGGAGACCCTGG